TTGGCTTTATGATTGAAGGTTACGCCCTAGAGTCTTTTACTGTTTTGTAATTGGTTAGAGTTTTGAAAATGAATAAAGAGAGTTTGAGTTGGTCTTGGCGAATACTCCACGACAGACGCAGGAGAGAGAGAGCAGTCCGAGAGAGTCCAGGGGCGAGCCTTGAGGCAGTCCAGTCTTGGGCGAGTCTTGGTTCAGCCTTGCGAGAGTCTTGGGGATTTTTCCCCAGGGCGCGGTGTCTTATAGAGTGCTCGATTGATCGACTAAGACGAGAGCTGAAACGTATTTCGTTGTGTGTGCCTTATTTGACTGTAAAGTTAAAGTGACTTTCCCGATCCCGTACCTCAAGGGGACGAGATAGAGAGACGAGACGAGATTCCCCCCGACAGAGTGGAGAACCCCGGGGAGAAGATTTCCCCCCTGATAGAATCTCAAAAAATGTGGGAGAAGTTTGTTAGCTATGAGGTAATCCCCAAGGTGAGTGATAAACATATTCACAAGTTATTATTGTATTTGTGCTCGTCATTGAGTATTATACTTGAATATCATATTCATAAAAAGACTTAATTGAAATGCACATGATATTGTCAAATATGGTCGTGTTCGTAAATTTTTCGGTGAATCGATTCGCGAAGTGCAAATGTTCAAAAAAAAATCAATGCTAGAAAGAGTGAAACATGAAAACTTAAAGCTTAAATAACGGCAAGAGAAGCATCTACATAAACAAAATTAAGTGTAAATTAAAATTGTAATTGTTAGGATGAAATAAATCTGGCTAATATCTAGTTTGATTGAAATAAGAAGTATTGAAAAACCTTTTTATTTGCCGGTTATCTATTTAACGAGATCACATTAGACAATACCAGGGCAATGATACTGTTTATCATACAAGTACTAGCACAAGAGGAACTGAAAAACTGCTAAAAAGTAGTCCACATACAGGCAATGGCAACAATACGATAACATTAACCATTCATTACATCTGGAATACGCCTATCTGTAATCGCCGACTATGACGATTTGGACATTGGTAGAGTTGAAGGCGATGTTAAAGAATCATATAAATATATGACATAAAGAAGACTACAAATATTGGGATGACTGATTTGATGAAATAAACCATAGGGTGCAAAGTGTGAACAGTATGTTTCCAGTTCTAACATGAGTATGATGCTATATCAAAGACAAATAACGTCAAAAAAGATGCTTAAGTGTTCAATCATTAGAAATCAGGAGGTTTGAGAAAAAAGAAAGTGTTAATTTTTGCTCCATTACACATTTGTTATGTTGTACATGATAGGCAGTAGACAATGAGTAATTGAATTGAAATATCTGTGATAGTGATAGTCCAGATGTTTTTAGTTGTGTCATAAAAAATATATCTGATACGAGCAAGTAAATTGCCTTAGGTCATGGTCAGTTGCTTTGCCGTTGATGTTTAAGGCCCCATAGTAGCCTCTGTTTGGACACAGACGTCATTAATGTGACTGTTTTGATGTCTTGTAGATGTTTACCCATATTTGTGAATAATAACCGTGGGTATATATGGTTTCGATGCAACCCGGAAATTTCATAAACAGAATCTGACTCCCATGACAGTAAAGACGATGACGGCTGGTATATGAATTCGGTGAGTCAATACAGAAACACCCCTGCAGTAACTGCAGTGTTCCCCACAAATAAAATTTAAAGAGAGGCGCTAATTTGCACATAATTAGCATATTTAATTTGCATATAATTAGCATACTATTCAAACATTTCAAAAGAAATTCTTAGCACTTTTATATGTACATCAATTAAATACTGTGTACAAGTACTATATTAATGTTCTTGAATTATTTTGATGAATAAGTTAAACCACTTGATGTGTAAAAAAATATCTACTTTGACAAATGAAGAATATCAATTTTATTCTTTGTAAAAGTGTAATGGAACAAGTTAAATTTCTTTCAAATATTTCCATTTTTATAGGTTGTATAAATGCACTGAGATATTGTAATAGTTGAAAACCTAAAGTAATAGGAAGAAAAATATTTTCACATAACAAAATTACCATTTAAAAGAAAAAAAGAAAAAATCGAATCCGATGACTGTAAATAAATTAATCATTATGTTGATTGCATTGTGGATACTGAGGACAAAGGTAAAATCAGATACCGTGACATCTATGTTGTTTCAGTGTTTACCGTACGTTTTGTTTTGGTGATTTATTTGATGATTCTTTTTACTTTTCGCCAATAAAAGGCAAGTAACAAGCAATTGGACCAATAAATTGTTGCTGGTTCTCCTGTTCTTAAGTATCTAAGCTAATTCAGGAATGATGAGAAAACTAGTTTTGACTATCCCATTGCGTGATTAACGCAATGCTTGTGACAATCACTTCACGCATCCATTCATTGTTTTTAGTTTATTTATTCAGCCAGTTTTTCCCCAGATATCAAATCCATTGTCCTAGTTGTCACCTATGCCACT